AGGGTTCGCTTCTATTCCTCTCTGATTGATAAGGAATCCGAGAAATTTCCCAGACTCAACTCCAAATACACACTTCTTGGGATTGAGCATGACACGGTGCCGCCTGAGTGTGGCGAAAGTTTCTCGGAGGTCCGACAAATGATCTTTCTGAAGTTTAGTCTTGACAATCATATCATCAATATATGCCTCGACGTTTCTGCCAATCTGATCAAAGAACACAGTGTTTATCATTCGTTGGAAGGTAGCCGGGGCATTCTTAAGACCAAACGGCATGACTGTATAACAGTATAACCCCTGATCAGTGACGAAGGCCGTCTTCTCCTGATCTTTCTTCCATAAGGGAATTTGATGGAAACCATAATAGGCGTCCATGAAACTCATCAAGGCATGGCCGGCTGTTGAGTCGACCAGGTTATCAATTTTAGGCAGAGGGTAACTGTCTTTGGGGCACGCCTTGTTTACGTCTGTGTAGTCTACACACATTCGCCAGGTGCCATTCGGCTTTTTAACAAGCACCACATTTGCAACCCAGTCTGGGAAGTAACATTGCCGAATGAACCCTGCATCAAGTAATTTTTTAACTTCGGCGGCTGCCGCCTGACTTCTTTCTTCGCCATGGTTCCGCTTCTTTTGCCGTACCGGCTTCTTTTTCGGATCCACGGCGAGTTTATGTACCGCCAGATCAGGACTAATGCCTGGCATTTCATGGACTTCAAATGCAAAGATGTCCTTGTATTCTTTCAATAGGTTGTGAAAGTCGTCACCAAGGTTTCTCAGAGCAGTCGTCCCAACTTTGACTGTTCGGTCAGGACGTGAGTCGTCTAAAATCAGGTCCGCATGCTCACCAGTCGGCTGAGGGTGGAACTCATCCGGCCGCTCCTCTGCCAATGATTGCTATTTTCTCGCTTTTCTTGCGGACTCTGTCTGGGACGCCTTTCTCTTTTTGCCGCCTGCTTCTTGAACAGGCGCACTCTCCTTGACATTGTCAAGGTCTGTTTTTTCTCCACTTGACCCAGTGGCCATAACAGTGGGCTTGACATCCGAGAGATAGCACTCTCGAGCCATCCTCTGATCTCCCCTTAGGGAGCCGACTGTTCCATTATCCCTCTCAAACTTGAGCAACATAAGAGACGGGATTATAACAGCCTTGGAATTATTCAGGGTTGGTCGACCCAGAATCATGTTGTAGGCCGAGAGTTCCTCTACTACTAGGAACCGGACTACCATGTGTCGTCCTTCCCCTTTTTCGCCCAGGCGAATGGGTAAATCTACTCGTCCCAGTGGGTGGACGACTCCTCCTCCAAACCCTATTAAAGGGTGGGAGGCCGGATGTATGCAGTCAGTCTGATATTTTAGTTTCGACAGACATTTGCTGCTGATGAGATCGGAGGAGCTCCCGGTATCTATGAGGATTCGGCCAACTCTCTGGTTGGCCACTTTACATTCAATAACGAGAGGGTCGTCATGCGGCCCCCTTACCCCTCCTAGATCCTCTTCAGTGATGACAATCTCAGGAAATGTATATTTGGACGGCCGTTCTTGGTGAACGGAATTTACATCTAACCGCCTTATATTATCTTTGTTGCCCCTAATAGTGGGGCCGCCTCCTGAGAAGCCGCCTGCAATGGTGTAGACGACTGCATCATCTGTATCGGAGCTGTCGGCCTGTTGATTCTTTTTGGCCGACAGCTTTCTTGAGGAAGTGTTCCCCGTAGATTTTTTGACATAAGTGTCAAGATCACCTTGCTCAGCCAGGCGGTCTAGGTACCGCATGAGACTGATGCAGTCATTGGTGTGATGACCAACGTCATCATGATAAGCACAAATTTTATCTTGGTTCCGGTTGTTTGCAGAACCCTTCATGGGGACCGGCTTCTCAATTGAGATCCGTCCCTTTATTTCTTTTAGAATAAACTGGTTATCCTTGTTAAACGCATACTTTGGGGAGTATGGTTTGAATTGTTTTTTCTTTTTCTGGGCCGGCTATTTAGAGGAATCAGCCGCCCAGACCTCTTTTCTTTTCTCATCTTTGTTTGACGACTGTTTCTGTCGTCCTTCTCTTTTGTCGAACCTTTTCCCATCCGACTGTTTTATCGTACACAGATCAGTCGCCTGTATATAGGCTTCTGCTTCAATCAAGGCCTCTTGAAGAGTCGCCACCCTTTTTCGAACCAAATCAAATTTGAAGGTAGACCCGTCTTTGAGACCTCTAAAAAAGTCGGTATAAGCTACCTCATCCGGTAACCCTTGAATCTGTATTCTCATCAGGTTGAACCGCCTGATGTAAGAACGAAGCCCCTCCTTCTCGCCCTGCTGAATTGTTCCCAAATCAAGGGTCGTTTTATTCGCAGGGATGTTCATGGCGAAGTTGGAGGCAAATAAGTAAGCAAGCGTCCTGAAGCTATTTACACAACCAGTCGGCAGGTTGCCGAACCATTGCTGTGCGATTCCTTTGAGAGTCGCTGGGAAACACTTGCACCAAGTGGGATCATCCAACCCTTGAAGGTACATCAGGTTGGTGAATGCCATCAGATGGTCTTCTGGGTTAGTAGTGCCGTCATAGGCGCCTACTAGTATATTTTTCACTTTGGCCGGCTGAGCGGCTTCAGTAATTTCCTTGGAGAAGGCCGACGGCTGTTCACCAAGTCTAAGCAACCGTAGCTGCCAGTCCATAGGTTGGACGTTTTTTTGCTGTAGGTCCACCAAATGGAGGTGGCTGCATAAAATACTGTTGTTGCGGCACAAATGGTAAGTTTGGTACCGCCTGGGCACTATGAAAGCCGGACTGACGGGAGGTGCCGCCTGACTGACTCTCATGGTACGACTGAGTATGTCTCATCGAGGCATTTCGCAAACTGTCTTGAAAGTCTGAAGTAGAAGCCGACTCTGACAATCGGTCACTCTTCTTCTGCTCTAGCAGTAGCCGAGCATCTGTGAATGTTTGCTTTGACCCGTCCGCCTGAATATGACGAACCGGTTTCCTATTTCCTGTAGGATAACGGAATTTTGTGAAATCAAGGGCAGGTGGCTCCCGCTTCCTAGATTTAGGATGAGGAGTCGCCTCTCGCCCTTGAACTGACCTCCTCTTCAGTGAAGTGGAGGGTTTCTTGGCCGACTGCTCCTTGACTGAAGCAGGCGGCTTCTTGTTGATCAACTCTTGAATCTCTCCCTTGAAGTCCCTCATGAAGGTCATGAGTTCGTTCCTTGTGATGGGAGCAGACCCATCAGTCGGCTGTTGCCGAGCAGGCGGTGCGCCTGCTGGCTCGCTTCCTGTTTGAAGATGCTCCCGTTCTCTCCTTTCGGTATGACGGGTACGTCGGGCCCTTAGGGTCCCGTCTGGAGCTGTATGAGTTTCAACTTCAAATTCACTTTCGGTGTCATGGTCCGACTGAACTTGAGGGTCGTTTAGGGGACGCCTCACTTCAGGAGTCGGTACAGACTTGGATGCCATCTCTGAAGTACTCTCCCCACAGACGGCGCCAAATGTTTCGGGGTTTTCTGATGTCCTGCGGGAGAGTTATAATTCCGAGACTGGAACCGGACGCCTGTACCTGCAAAATAACGGAGACTCCTGAGAGCTCCGCCTCCAACGGTCAAGTTAGTACCTGATTAAGGAGTAATTAATACGGAAATTAAAGTAATAAGGTCTCTCTAGGTGAGAGTGGTTAATGTAGGTAATCTGCTTTGTTAGCGAGATCAGCCGGTTATTAGTGTTCCGTAATGTTTCTGTTCTGTTCTCCAGGTGAGATTAATTGCTTCCTTCCCTTAAATGAGGATTAATTAAGTATTTATAGTCTTGAGAAGCGTGCCACTCTCTAGGTTTAGGGTAAACCTAGGGCTGACCGGGCCTCTAAACAGGATTGGGCCTTGTTGGCCGGTTTTCCCATTTGGCATGGGTGGACACGTGGCGTGTCTCAATTGGTCCGTAGAGGACGTATCTGTGATTAACACGTGGCAGGCTCCTATTGGCCTACGTGAAGGACACGTGGCGGAACCTGGTTGGTCCGCTTGTCAAACGGTGATTGGTGGATAAAAATCCCCTAATCAGTAGGTACCTGCCGTGGCGCGGGAAATTCCAGCCTATTTTTCCGTCTAAATACATTTTTTACCCTAATTTCATTCGGCATTTTAAGTGTCGATTGATAATTTTGGGCCTTTTCTGACTTATTATTATTTGGGCTAAAATAAGAAAATAATTAAATAAAAATAAATAAAAGGTTTGGGCCAAAAATAAATAATAAAACAATAAAAAAAAAAGGTTTGGGCTAAAATTAAATAATAAGTTTGGGCTGAAATTAAAACTATGCTTTTACCAAACATCAAGGCTAATCCATGGATTGTTCAAAAATACGAATTTAATCAAATACGATTTTTTAAGCACTCTCGGGATTAAATACTGAACCCGACCAATAGTGGCGGTGAAAGGTTGTTCATCATCGGGTTTGGTTTTGGGGAGACATTTTTAGGTGTCTACAGGTACCTATGTCTATGGTGTTTGATAATGGCCCTCAGTTTGAGATGCCTCAGCTCAAGACTTGGTTGGGGGATCAAGGGATCTCCAACTATTTTGCATCAGTCGGCCGATCCCAAGCAAACGGCCAGGTTGAAGCCTTCAACAAACTCATCTCGGACGACATAAAAAGAAAATGGAAAGAGCCGGTGGCTTATGGGCAGAAGAATTGATTCATGTCCTATGGGCCATCCGGACAACATCCAAAAGGTCAACCAGGGAAACCCCATTTCTCATGGTTTACGGTGCTGAAGCCGTCTTGCCCATCGAACATTACGAGCCTACCCTCAAAGTAATGCTCTATGATGAGGAAGCAAATTGGGAGGCCATGCGTCTGGCTTTGGACTCTCTCCCAGAACGCAGGGGCAATGCCGACTTGCGTCACGAGATATACCGTTTGAGAAAGACAAGAGCCTACAACAAGAAAGTGCACAAGCGCCCTTTGAAAGTTGGCGACTTTGTGTTACGAAAAATGGAGGCAACCGGTAGGGCCAACAAGCTTGGAAAGCTTATTCCAAATTGGGAAGGCCCCTACCGGATCTATGAGGAAGTTAGAAACGACACCTATCGCCTGGAAACCCTAAACGGCAGGCGCCTGCCTAGGACTTGGAATGTAGACAATTTGAAAAAGTACTACTTCTGAGTTGTAAAATTTTGTAAGCAAGAAGTTTATTAATGAGAAATCGCTTTTTGTTTTCAATTATGTTTTCCTTTTTCAAGTTTTAAGGCCGTCTGTGAAATTCACAGGCGGCCCAATTGGTGAAGTCTCTAAGTTTAAAACTTAATAGACGATTCAACGTTCATTTTACATGAGGCCACTGGCCGGATAACTAAGGTAGGCCCAATTGGTGAAGTCTCTAAGTTTCGTGGGTGGGGGAAGGGAGGGTGAGGTGTTTCGACAGGTGAGAGTGGTGGTCGGGGGGGAGGGGCGCAGTTTTTCGGCTGGGTGGGGGGTGTTTTCGGGTGGGGGAGGGTCGGTGGAAGGGGTGGGGGAGGGCCGGTGGTTTCGAAGGAGGGAAGTTTTTTTTTTTGGTTTTTTCTTTTTAATTTATTTTATATTTTTTAATTTAATTTATTTTTGGACCAATGATAAGCTGACACATGTTATGATGACCTCTTATTAAAGGTTGTTGACTTCTGTTGACCGGTTTGGGATTGAAGAAAAAGAAGACCCCCAAAAGTTCGAATTATTTCAGAATAATTTAAAGTTGGGATTATTGTACCAAAATTGATAAACGTTGGGATTATTTTATCTAATTTTTCCTTTATAATAAAAAAAAAACGGATATTTGTTGACAAATAACACTATCTATACGGTAAGTCTAGACAAAAGTTCTAAACAAATAAGACCTAATTCCCAAATGTAACCAAATGAGTCCTTTCTTATAAAAAAAAATTAATAAAAAAAAAAAAATTGAGTCCTTTGAAGTTGGAATTACGTATTTGGGTGAAGAATTATACTCTCGGTTTCTTCCCCTTTTTCATCACCAAACCATAACCCGCTTATCACCATCTCGAATTCTGAATAATAGTTTACAAATTCATGAAATATTTCTTCTCAGCTTCGTGAAATAACCTAAGTTAATCACTTTGATTAAATTATTCTTTCTCAAATAATGTTGGGTGGTTTGTACGGCGATCTTCCGCCGCCGTCGTCTTCTACGGAGGATGAAAAACCCGCTAACCCGTCGGCTAGCGCTGTATGGTCAAGCAGCGCAAAGATGGCTCCTCCGACGCTTCGAAAGCCAGCGTTCACTACCCCGCCTTCTATCATCCGATCTCAGGCGATTATCAGCAAGCCCAAACCAATTAAAACCCTACCTGCGGAAGACCCTCCATCAGAGGCCCTGCAACCGGCATTGGTGGGGGTGACTTCATCCGTAGTTGAGGAGTACGACCCAGTGAGACCCAATGATTACGAGGTGTATAGAAGAGAGAAGAAGAGGCGAGCGCGGGAGGCGGAGCTGAAGCGGGAGCTCGAGAGGCGGCAGCAGGAGGAGGAGGAGAGAGAGAAGGAGAGGAGGGAGAGGGATAAGGATAAGGATAGGGATGAGAGGGATAGTAAAGTGGGTATTTCTGGGGAGGAGGCGTGGAGGCGGCGGACTGCAATGAGTAGTAGTGGTGGTGGTGGGCAGCCGCCTGGTTCCCCGTCTCCTCCGGGTGGGAGTGTGGATGGGTTTGCTATTGGGAAATCGGATACAGTTGGATTGGGTGTAGGGGCGGGAGGGCAAATGACCGCGGCACAGAGAATGATGGCGAAAATGGGGTGGAAGCAAGGCCAGGGTTTGGGGAAGTTGGAGCAAGGAATAACTACTCCTTTGATGGCCATGAAAACTGATAGGAGAGCTGGGGTTATTGTCAATGCTAGTGAAACTAAGCAGCAGCAGCAGCAGCAAGAGAAGAAGGTAAAGAGTGTCAACTTTAACGGGCCGCCTACCCGAGTTTTACTTCTGAGAAACATGGTATGCAATCTACCTTCCCCAACTCGTTTAATGAAATATGTTTATTCTGCCTGTGTATCCCTGATTATAAAGTCAAAGATGATATGCTATTCCTCCTGTCTGACGCCATTGTCAAAAACACACAATAATCATTATATTGCATTCAATCAATCAATCACTATAATCATTATATTGCATTGTAGGCGGTAAAAGATGTAGCTTTCTAATGTGCATTATGTTTGTCTTGAGTCCCTTTTGATGAATTTGCACATTTGACTTTGATCGTGTTCGGAACTAGTTTTGATTGGTTTGACCAATTCAAACCGCTACTTAATAAAAAGTTTGAGTGTATAGCACGAGTAATGTAGGAGCTACTACCATAACCATCAACTACCCCCACAATGCATTTTGCCAAACATGGCCTTAAAAGCTACTGTGTTGAATAATAAAGTTCATGGTAAAAGATTTAAGTTATTTGGTTCGTCCGTTGTGACTAGTAGATTGGCCCAATACTTTATCCTCCACTAGAATTATAACTCTAATTAATAGTTTATTGGATTTAATATGAACTTTGATTTAATAAGTTTAATTAGGTAATCAATATGTTTAGCCAGAAACAGCTATCGCTTAATAAGTCTAATTAGGCATTTGGGCTTATAATCCTATAGAGTTGCACACGCAAGTATGGACTATGCTAAATTAGAATTGAGTGGGCCAAATGAAACAAAGCCTTGCAACGCCCTAGGTTCCGTGTGTGAGAGTGGCTATGCAATTATGTCAATAAAGGAAGAACAAGTCTCCTTTGATAAATGTCGGTTAAGAAATAATATCTTTAGATGTATTGAATATTATTGGTTTGAATAAGATTTACATTTTCATCCCCGTGAGAATGAGAAAGAGAAGTTAATCTACGGCTTGATTGTGCGTGTGCCTGCTGTTAAAGGGATTGCAAATGGGATACTTCAATCTTCATCAAAGAGGCATGTACCAAAAGCCAAATTAATAATATTATTAGGTTTATAATTAATGTGTATAACTTGTATATGTATTTAATTCAAATCTTAAATGTGGTATCAATAGCCTTCTTAAACATTATTTTTTTAGTCTAATTATAAATATATCGTTCAAATTATGTGATATTCAGTGTATTTAAAGGTGTGCCTAGGCACTAAATGATTAGGGTTATCCGCTGTTGGCGAGGTTCATGAATTCATCAAGGCGTGCGGGAGGCACACTTAAGGTGCATTTGTGGAACGCATAAGCAAGTTTTCGTAGTTGTTTATTGTGCACCTCGCTTTAAAGAGGCACATCAAAGCGCATCATTTCCTCTATGGCTTTATCATCTCATTGAGCCTGAAGCATTTTTATACATTGGTGATATTATTAATTGATCTAGTTATTAATACTGGCCAGCAAACAAAACTAGAATAATCTGCTATTGACGAAATAGTAGAAAAGGAAATTCGGATTTAAAATCATTATTGAACTATGGTACCACATAATTAGATATCAATAATTAGTGGATTGGAATTATATAGTAATAACTAGTCCAAATAGGTTTTGATATAAATATATTTTGTAGAAAAACATCTAAAGAATCTATACACACATTGACTATGATTCTAATGGGACTATTAATATACCTTTTGATGCGTGCCTTTTTTGGTAGGGATTCGATTGGTTTAGGATCCAATTGCAATCCCTCTAATGGCTTGTACACACACTATATTGCCACAAGAAACGTGACAGCCTATATTAATTGGAAGAGGAAGATTCTATTTCTCGTATGTCTAATTGAATTTACCAATTTTCTATATATCTAATTACGTATTATTGCTTTACCAACATTTTATTTAATCAAGGAAGACTTATTTTTCCTTTATATACATGGTTGGACTACCACGCCCACCCGTGATGGCCTTTTTTCATTTGGCCACTCTATACTAATTGGGCTCGGTCCATCTTGTACGTGCGTAAGATCAGTTTAAGTTAATCCGTAAGCCCAATTACATTAAACTTACTATTCAATTGTAGTTTCTTGTTAAGCATATTGATTATTAAATTGAAGTTCGAGTATAGTCCTATAAACTATTAATTAGAGATATGTACATTGTTTAATGACTATAATTTTATAAACTTCCACTTGTACTTTAAACAAATGTACATAGCTATTCCCTCTTATTGTCTTTATTTTTATTTAAACATAAGCTAAAATTATCATGTATTTTTATCTATAACCCATGAGTTAAACCATCAAGACAAATATTTATTCAATATTCTATTTGAGTGTGGGTATGTATTTCACATTTTGCACTCTTCGAAAGTCCATAAGACAATGATCCTAATATTCAAAGAACAATCCCAATCTTGTACATTCAATTCTATCTTTCTAAATTTCGAGCAGTGCCTTTATTATCTCCTTTTTCTGTACAAAGTTTAGCAATGTCAAAGTATTAATCCAGTTGAAAACAAATAATGAACTACTTAGATATGCAACATTCTATGATAGTTTAATGAGATAAGTTTGTGAAATTTAATTCTTACAACATTCTATGATGGTGGTATGTCCAATACAAGTTCTTATTTACTACCTCCGTTAACAGTTATTTGCAACATTTGCCATAAACGGAAGCTACCAATTATTTGCAACAAATGTTTTTTTTTCCTCTTTTAGTAAGTTTTGTTGTATAAAATGACCAAATTGCCCTTATTTAACCAACTTACTCCCTTAATTATTTCACTAACCATATACTATTATAAGTTTATAACCCTAACTTAATCATCTAATCTTACAAAAAAAATCAGATCTTTTTTCAAAAAAAAAATATCAAATCTCAACATTCATCTTATTCATCAAATTTCTCTCTCCTCCTTCATCATCAAATTCTCACTCCTCCTTCATCTTCCCATCTTCAGATCTGGAGGTGGTCTCTCGTGGGTTTCGTAGGTGTGGTGGTTATGGGCGGCACGAGCTTCGTGGAAGGTGGTGTCGTGGGTGTGGTGGTTTTGTGGGTTTCGTGGAAGGTGGTTTCGTGGGTGTGGTGGTTTTGTGGGTTTCGTGGTGTTGGGTTTCGATCGGGTAGTGGGTTCTGGGGGCGGCGTGGTGGTTGATTTTCGAGGGTGGGAGGCGGCGATTTTCGAGGGTGGGAGGCAGCGTTGATTTTCGAGGGTGGGCGTGGTGTTGGGTTTCGATCGGGTAGTGTTTGTTGGCGCATTTTGGTGGTTTTTGGTGGGTTTTGATGGTGGTTGTCGGTGGGTTCGTAGGTGTTGGTGGTTTTCGGTGGGTTTTGGGTTGTCGGTGGGTTGGGTGGGTTCGGTGGTGGTGGTGGATCTTGGTGGGTTCGGTGGTGGTGGTGGTTTTCGGTGCTGGGTTTGGTGGTTCTGATTATTTGTGGTTTATTTTTATTTTTTTTTTATTTTTTTTTTAGGAAAGAGTGGTTTATTTTTAATTGGATTAGTGCTTAAGTACATGCCCTTATATTTCAATAATCTTGTTTTAAAACTTTTGCCTAGGAGTCCTCGCATGTCCCTTTCGTTGCAAATAACTGTTAACGAGGTAGTAGTATCCATGCAATTGATTTATGACAACTTCATCGACTAGCCCATGATACAACACTATAAAATAACATGAAAACCAGTCCATTTAAAGATCATTATTGTCCATTTTCAATGATTTAGGTTAGGAACTTCTTTACTCTAAAATCTCCTGTTCACTTTATAAGGTTTTTTCATTTAAGACATCATCTCAATGACCTATTTGAAATTTACAGATTAAATTTGGACATTAATTTAATACTAAACCCAGATTAAATGACATTGAACTTTAAGTTCATTAAATGATAAAAAAAAAAAATATAACATAGAGGTTTTACCATTATAACTACGCGTTATAATCTAGATTGTCTCTAGAGATTTAATCCATATCTTCATATATGCTTAATTTTAATTTCTAGATTAAGGTATAAGCTAAAGTGATTCGGTTATACAAGTTAGCAACTTTGCCATTTAGGTGTTTCTCTTGCAACTCTTAAATTGTAAACTCAAGGACGTGAAATTTTCACAGAAGATCCATTGGATTTGATGTGCTCCCTTTGCTTCTTGACTTAAACGATGAATCCACTAATAGTCTCAAATTGGAAATAGGGAATAGTTGAGTTGATACTTGTTTAGGGTAACATCGAGTTCAATAATGAATATTTAATCCAAATTTCCACCTTTGTTGAATCTTTAACAAGGTATTCTATGAATTATGCTAAGCTTTGCTCATCTTTCCTTTCAGACCAAATGTATAAGATGAAGTTTGCTTTGTTATATCTTTAACAACTAAATCATCTTCTACTACGATACATTTTTCTAGTTCGTTCAAGGTACTTTACGAATGTTCTTGGCTACACTGCAGTGCACCTTACCTAGATATGCATGGTTTTGACATAGAAGGATATCTTCATTGACATGTACTACAAAGGACATAAAATTACCCCCACTAGCCTTGGTATCACAAAAATTCCCAAAGCATTCCTTTTGAACTATAAATTACTTTAACTACTTGTTTGAAGTGTAAAACTTTAACTCCTTAATGCTTAAATTAATCCAAAATGGATTTTAAAGCTTGCATACCTTCCTATCATATGATCAGTTTGATTAACAAAGCCCTTTTGGTATATCATATACATTATGCCTTCTGAAATTCCATTGAAGATGGCTTTGATATCTGTTGCTTAGTTTCGTACAGTTTTGTGCATATGACAACTTGCAATTGTCGAATGTATATAGATAGGTTCTGGCATAGGCGCATAGCAAATAATGAAAAGGTTTCAATAAATCCACTTGGTGAATTTTGTCCGTAATATTTAACAAAGCTAGCTTTAAAACATAAATGTTTTTGTTTTGCTAAACAAGCTTTTCACTTTATCTTAACAACTCCATTTTCAGCCAAGTTAAACTTTGAAATTTCAAATATGGATTTCATCTTAGATTTCATGGCTTTAAGCCATTTGGAGTTTGTATCATCAAAACTTTCTTAGAGGTATAAGGTTCATACTTTCTAGAAGTAAGATTTTATAGCCTTTCGGTCAAGAATACATAGGTGTATCCTTGTCACCAGTGTTTGAAAAGTCTAAGGCATAAAGGATCATGCTCCTTTTATGGTCTAGGTGCGGCGATTTTGATGAGGCACGGCAAGGCGCATTACACCCTAGGCGCAAACCATTATTTTTAGAAACTTTATATTCCCTCTTTTTCTTAATAATTGCAACACTTTCCTTTTTCGTGCGTTTCGTGATAATTGCAATACTTCCTTATTTGATAAAAACCATCTAATACTTTACTATTTCTCTCTCTTTCCAACCCCACTTACACTACTTTAAATTCCCTTTTTGAACCCTACCCAGCTACCTTATGATTTTCTAAAAACTTTGTGCCCACCCTACTATTGCGATTATTATGAAATGGAGGGAGTATTGCTTATTATATGTGCTTCACTTCAACGAGGGGCGTCTTAGGTGTAAGGAACTCTGAAACGCGTTGGTGTGCCTTAAGCCTTTTTTACTAGTCTTTTGACTTGCCTCTATGTCTTCCAAACCTTCATGGAATTTTTGAAACTATGGAATTCTTCTCAATTGAGCTTGTGTTAGGAGTTTCAATCCCCTTTCGGGTTGTTGCCCTTCTCGAATATCATCGACATGCAAGACATGCAATTTTACCTTGTGATATTTACTTTTTACTTTTGGAATGGATAAAGTATAAAACTTATGCTAGTTTGATAGATTTGGGGGAGTTAGAATTAAATTTTGGAGGCTGCTAATGATTTCATCAATAGCTCAATAGGAGCATTGTACAATTGGTGAATATCGCTATTGTGGAAGCTGATATCGAGTTTAACGTTTTATAGTCTTGGACACCATGGGTTGCGTAATGGTTGCCAATCTTGCCATTCAAAGTTATTTGCTAGATATGATTGTTTTTGCTGTCACACACACACACACACACATTTTTATGTTATGGAGATGCCTTCTTGTCTTTTGCTTGACATGTGTTGATCAGTTATCTAGTAGTGGTCTATTCCTTGGAATTAGTGATGACTTCCATTGGCTACTGAATTGTAATATTTTTCCATTTTTTCTATCTAATAGCTATTGTAGATAAGTATGTTTGAGCTCTAATACTCGTATATTTTTGCTGATAACTTGTACCAATACGATTTATTTGTTGATGCTTCATTATTATTTTTCAAGGGGTTAAACATTTAATTTCAACATTTTTATAGGAAGTAATGGTGTCTGTCCAATCTGGGACATTTCAATATGCTACAAGGCAGTCAAGTTGGTGATGATCTTGATGATTTTGTATTATGTTCAATAAATTCTTTTCTATGCTTTAAACTATTCTCTCTAGGTCGTGGTTCTAGTATTGTATTACCATGAATGCTTGTTATAATTAGCATCTATAAGAAATCAATATTAGGGGAAGGGTATGTTAGTCATAGCCTGTTAGTAGTAGCCTGGGGAACAAACTAGAGATTTGTTAAGAGGGATTTTCTATAAATAGACCTCATAAGGAGGACTTAAGTGATGTTGAAAATATTGTGAAGTTTGATATTGGGAGAGAGTGAGCCTCTTAAAAGCTCATGTTAGGAGAGCATCCACCTCTCAAAAGTGGAATTATTGTTCAATTTAGTGTAATTCACATATTAATACTATAATCATCATCTTCCTTCTTAATTTTTGCCATTGTTAGTACTGTAATCAAACTAATCTCTAGCAGCATCATCCTAAAATTCCTAGTGGACATCTTTCTTGTGTTTAGAGCTAAACATAATTAGCATTTAGTTTTGTAGAGCTCGACATGGATAATTTAGAAGACACTTTTATTGATCTCATCTAGGAAGAGGGTTGCCTGATTATATCTGAATGTAATTAGGATTGTATTGCGTAAGATCACATTTTAGTATCTATGGTTTGCTGTTAGAGGCTATAGAAGTTTATAGAGCTTTACATTTGATTCCAATTATGGGCCATGTGAAAAGAAGGGAATCTAGAGAGAGAGGAACGTGGTGAGTACTCACACCCACCACCATCACCACCCAAATTCACCTGCAAACTAAATCCACCCATCAAGAGAGAGGAATTCTAACCACTGTTATATTCACAAGCTAAAATGCCTCCCAATATATAAAGGTTAAGCCACATGTCACCTGCTTGTAATAAGGTTAATTATAGAAAGGGCCTTGGGACCTTCTCAACAAGCCGCTGCACTACCTCCTCAGCTAACTTCTGAGTTAATGCTGGATGTTGAACCAGAGTCCTTACTGGGGGTCAGAAACAAAGCAGGAACTGGAAGTGTTACTAAAATGGAAGCAACTACCAGAGTATGAGGCCACATATGAAGATATGGACTACTGAGGCAATGACACTCAGATTTCCAGATTTTTACCTTGAAGACAAGGTGAAGCTTTGGGCTGGGGTAAGGCAAGGAACCAGAAGCCTTCTATTCTATTCACCTATTTTCACAAGAATGGCGCCAAAGATGGTTAAAACTACCTAAGGGTAGAGTAGTTATTTAACACTAGTTTGTTATGAGATGCCTGGGAAGAGGAGTTTGTTATGGGAAGCTTGGGAAGTAGTGAATTCTGTTATGAGTTCTGTTAGAGGCCTTTAAATATAAATACGTTGTACTTTGCTGTTTGGGGGTAAGTTGAATATCCTTTTGGAATTTTCCTCTTTATTTTTCCTTGTAGGAGAGCCCTTACCTCTCGAAAGTAAGGAGGTTGTATTGTGTGATTACTTGGATTATCAATAGAATTCACTGTCCTAATTTTTTTTTCTCTTTACTCTGTCAATTATTTCCTGTTCTCCTCTCCAGTTTCCAGCATCTTTATAGAAAAGAAAATAAACAACATTGATGCAATATGATTGACATGATTGAATCCAACTTAACAGTGTGCTTGTATTGCTGGTTTAAGTTCAGAGATGACTTCATGAAAATAATGTTTCAAAGGAGTGTTTTGACATTTAAAGAAGATTTTAGAGAAGTTTGGGGTGAAACTCTGCGAGTTGGCGACTATATTATAAATCTGCTTTTTCTGGTTAAAGTCTTGTTAATCCCCTTCTGTTTTATATTATAGTGTCAACATATTGTGGAGAATAACCTTAATTGAAATACAATCATTGATTAACCTTCAGAATTAAATGGTTCTTTGTAAGATGTCACTGACCTGATACTGTTTTATGCTTTTATGTAGTGCCTAAAATATTGGTGACAGAGTAACAATTCCCTGCATCTTTTATTCACAATGTTCCGAGACATTCTGTATACCTTTAATTTTTTTTTTTTTGTTATCTCACTTGTGTGATAATAACCACTTTCTCATTTCACTTATGGTTATTGAAGGTTGGTCCTGGTGAGGTAGATGATGAATTGGAAGAAGAAGTAGGATCGGAGTGTGCAAAGTACGGAACAGTTACTCGGGTGCTTATATTCGAAATCACGGAGTCCAACTTCCCATCTGATGAAGCTGTGAGAATTTTTGTGCAGTTTGAGAGATCAGAGGAAACAACCAAGGCTTTAGTTGACCTTGATGGCAGGTTTTTTGGAGGGCGAGTTGTACGTGCCACATTTTATGATGAAGAGAAATTCGGCAAAAATGAATTAGCTCCGTTACCAGGAGAGGTTCCTGGATTTTAAGGATTTCGCAAGTGTAGGCTGGTCCAGAAGGTGCACACTAATTTATCAACTTTTTGTAATTTGTCAAAATAGGCTGTTTCTTGTGTAAAAAAAAAAAAAAAAAAAAAAAAAAAAAACTTGCTTTTACTTTAATTAGCTCTTATTCGTAGTCATAACAGTTAAATCAATTTATTTACCTATTTTATACAAGAGTTATATATGCAATTCAGGCTTTTTTTTATCAATTGCTTCCTAATTGTTTTCGAGTCATTTATTTATTAGGAAAAATTGCCCTGATTGATTCCAATTTTACATAGTCCGTCAATAATAATCCCTACTTTTGATTATTCATTATCACTCCCAACTTTGTATGGAATTAATTTCTATGGCATCCAAATGCCTTGAAACTGGTTCAAGAGGTAAATTTTGCTAACTTGTGATTGGTTGCACATGTGTCGCAATTTGTTTGGTTCAAAATATTAAAAAAAAACATAAAAAAAAAACCACAGCCACTTCCACCACCACCACCACCACCCTCAATCTCGCCGGAACCTAGAGGTGGTCAACATTGGCCCACCCCGCTAGCCTGGCCCGATCCGGCCCGAAAATAGGGCGGGTTTGGGCAAACATTAAAACACATTTTTAGTTAAAAAGCCCGAACCTAGCCTGAAAAGCCCATTTTGGCTCCACAAGCCCGCTACTTTTTTACCGGTTTGGGTAAGAGAAATTTTGTTAAGGCCCGGCCCGGCCTGATTTTTGATCACCTCTACCGGAACCCTAACCCCAATCCTCAATTCCACAGGAAAACAATCGGCCAACCTCCGACTTCCACCATAAACCACTGACCATCCTCCACCACCCATCCCCGACCCTCGAAACCACCCACATAGTCGGTTTTCGTGGATGATTGTCGGGGAAGGGGGTGAAATCGAGGGTGGGGAAAAGGAAAGGGGTGGGTTTCGAGGGAAGGGGGAAGGGGAAGGTTGGGCGTTGCTTTCCGGCAGCGAGGGAGGGGTTTTCGGGGGTGGGGGAAGGAAAGGGGGGTTGGGCGCCGTTTTCCGGCAGCGGGGAGGGGTTTTCGGGGGTGGGAGAGGGATTTTTGGTGGTAGGGAAGGGAAAGGGGTGGGTTTCGAGGGAGGGGGAGGGCTGGGTGCCGTTTTCCGGCAATGAGGGAGGGGTTTTTGAGGATAGGGCCGATTTTCCAGCGGGGTGGGGGTGTGGTGTCTTCCGGGATAGGGGTGGGGGCTAGATGTGGTGGCAACTGCTGGGTATGGGTGGTTTTTGGGGGTTATTTATTTATTTTTAAAAAATAATTCTTAAGCCAATTATAGGCTAACACGTGTCTTGTAACCTGTAATATTAGGTTGGATGATCGGTTGGATGCAATAGAAATTAAAAGGGTATAAAGTTTGGAGTGATGGTGAATTATCGAAAGTAGGAATTGTTTTGGGTGTTTTTGTCCCTCGGGAGAGTTACAACTTGATATGTCTATTTTATATAGTGTTTTACCCCCGTCCCTTGGTCATAATTAGTAGTGTTTTTGGCCCTTTAGGGCCACTTTTATTACTAATGTGTGTTTTCTAGTGTTTTCGTAGTTTTGGTTGAGTTTTGCAGGGAATTGCACCTGTGGAGCATTTTCCCGGGATTTTTATGAAGCGACTACGAGCATTGGAAGAACACGATCACTTATGGAGCCCAAGGCCGGTTAGAGCCATCGAGCCGGTGATTAAGGGCTCGGTTATTTGGATCGCGAGGCAATTGGACCATGTATTCGAGACCCGAGAGGAAATATGGATTGGGCCGAGAAATCTAGCCCAATCGAAGTCTAAAGCCTTGAAGATAAAGACCGGGCCCGATCGAGCAAGCAATCGCCCGATCGGGCGGATGTGTGGGAGTGCCATCAAGGGAAGGCGCGCCCGATCGGGTGAGCTGCTAGCTCGATCGGGCGCGGCAACTTAGAAGGAGCACTGGCAAAAAGGCGCGCCCGATCGGGCGGCCTCTAGCCCGATCGGGCGCGTGTGTCTGGAGAGGTGTTTTTGGACGAGCAATTAGTTTCTAATTAGGAGTTGTTCTTAGTTTTGTTTAAATACGTTTTTGTACGGATTCTTAGGAATCTTATCTTCTTCCTCTTCTTCTTCTCTTAATCCTTTCTCTTAGTTTTTTTTTTCTCTCTACTTATACTTCTTTCTCTAAACTCTCTCTCTAAACCTTTGTTATCATTTATTTGATTAATTTCAGATTTATTTTGGTAACGATTTCTTTTCCCTTAATCTTAGTTATTTATTTTATTCCTTTGATCATGATTTATATTATTGCTTTGTTTAGTTTAGTTTTTAGTACGTGTGAGTAGTTCAATTTCTAGGGTTTATGGGGATCTAATAAATAATATGAAGGGGTAAATTATTGTTGTTGATTATCAATGCTAGATTAATTTCCTATTGATTGAATTAATGCTCTGTGACTAGATTAGGCCTATCTTTTATGCATGAGTTTGACAATATTGATTCAAGAATCGAGAGATGAGAATTAATGTTTAGGTCTAGTTTCAATAGGCGAGTTAATTTATAAATGGTTAAGTCAAAAATCGAGAGATGAGATTTAATACCGATAAATTAATTGTGTGATTGTAATAAGTAGCGAGAGCCTTTTACAATCTGGTTAATTGATGCATTGATGATTGACTATTATTGATTGTTGGTATTGCATGATAATTTCTTATTGGATTGTTTTAATGTTTTACAATTGCTGCTTGTAAAAGTATAGCAATATTACATTGATGAATCGAGCAGATGTTAATTTGATATTAAAGACTATTTTCAATGAGGACTTAGATCTAGTAAATTGCGAGAGCCTGTTAGATCTATGTTGATTAATAAATAGCGAGAGCCTGTTAATCATGTTATTTATGCAATGTCAATGATTGATTACCCTATTTTACCCCGGAGTATTATTTGTTGGTGAACCTATACCCTAGATCCCTTTATATATTGTTTTCTCCCTACTCTTATTCTTTGTAGTTTAGTCTCATACTTAATTATAAATATTGGTTACTTAAATAATTTAGATTATAATAATTAATTGGAAGTAAAAAGACCTGTTTCCCTGTGGAGATCGACCCTACTTCCCTATCTACCTTAGTTAGTGATTTAGGTATTTATTTTTTATTAGGGGATACGACTTTACCCTGTCACAACTCGAAGCCTGGTTGAGAAGCACCTGTACCTGTAAAACAACGAAGACTCCGGGTGGTTGGAGTTCCGCCTCCGACGATCAAGTTAGAACGGATGGAGTAAGTAAGAAGTGAAGTTAAAACGGATGGAGTAAGTAAGAAGTGCGGAAAAAAATGTAAAAGTGAGATCTTCTCGGATTCCGAGATCAGGGGATTTTTCTGATGTAAGAGAATGTTAGTGATATTGTAATAATTTTTATCTGTCCCACAAATGGGGGAAATCTCCCTATTTGTAGGGTAATTTGGAAAAGTGTGCTCTTACGTAGGTCATTTGACCTACATTTGGTGGGCTGCCCGCACTTTTGGCGGCTTTTTGGGAATTGGGCCTTTGAAGGGCGTCTTTCCTTTTGATGACAGTGGATTCCACATGTCATCTTGCTAGTGGCCCAATTTAGGCCAATACGGGGTGGAAACGTGTCCTATTCTCATTGGGTCTCGTGGCGGGGTAATTTTACCCAAAACATTTTCCCCTCATAGATGTGATGTGGCGGGCCACGTGGCATCTGTGGCACTTGTCACTCATGTGCTGGAGGAACAATAATTACTATTCACCTTCTGGGGAAATTACCAGGATGCCCCTTGTAGGGAATATTTCAAGCCATTCCACACTTGAGCACCATTGTGATCATACACTTAAGTATGGTGACGTCCAAAGGGAAGGAAGCTAGAGCAAAAGAGTCGCCAACAAGTTTTAGGAACTTGTAAACCGTTCATAGGGTGAAGGTTCTCCCCTTAATGATCCAGCAGATCGTTAACTCCAATAGGTCTGGAATCATGACTGGAAGTTCGGGTATGAAGGTACAAATCCAACCTAAAAGAGATTGAATCTGCCCTAATAATAGGCCTTTACTTATTTTTCTCGTATTCATGTGCGCTTTTGATGAGTGATATATATGTCACTCTTAGGGAGTAGTTTTAGAGCTATTTTCGTGTTTATTTTCTCTTATTTTCCCTTTTATTCTCTTGTTTTCTTTTTAATAAAGTTTCTAGTTTATTTCTTAGTTTTAGTATGTTTTAATTTAATTTCTTTATTTAATTAGTTTATAGTTTATTTTCATATTTTATTTGCTTTCGATTTATTTTATTTCATTCCTTTTCTTTATTACTTTCATAGTTTTTATTAGTTTTAAGTTTATTTTGTTATTTAATTTAATTTTATTTATTTTTATAGTTTTATATTTTTATTAGTTTTAGTTTTATTTCTCTTATTTCTATTTTACTTTTATTTATTTTAATTAGTTTGAAGTGTTTTTCATATTTTATTTGTTTGTGTTTTATTTAATTTTGTTAGTTTTAGTTTTAATTCTCTCATTTTCTATTTTCGTTTATTTAGTTTTATTTTATTTTTCTTAATCCCTTTCCTCGGTTTCGTGTGTAGGTGTTCGGGTTTTAAGTCGAGTGAGTTTGGTTTCCGAATTCATGTCAAAAGTCAATTGCCGACTGCACAAGCCACCAACACCACCGCAGCCACCTCCTATTATCCTCCACCTCATAGCTGCTGCCTCCCTCACGCAACCCCTGCACCACCGTCCACTCAATCCACATCGACCTTAGCAGCTTCCCCTGTTCCAATCAACCAGTAGCCACTCAAATCGGCGCAGCAACGCCACCAAAACCAAACCATAACAACCAGCAGCAACGCTGCCTGGAAAACACCACCACGCAGCCATCGCCAGTCAACCTAATCACCAACTCCCCTGCTGCAACCACCAACAAAATCAGTCCACCAAAACCCACACCAATTACCAACCCAGCCGCACCTGAACCACCATCACCCACCAATTCCACTCAACCTCACGACAACAACCAACCCGAAATTAACCGCAGCCCGCACCAGCGCAACTCCCTGCTCCCTCATTTCCACCACCGCAACAACAACAAAAACAACTAGCCATGCCTCCCCTGTTC